ATCCATATGCTACCAAATTTGACTCACAGAATCTTCTGGCAGGTCCATACCAGGGAAAAAAATTCCTGAAACTTAAATTGTAGATAATGTGTTCTTTGTGTTAAATATGAAATCATACTAATTTGAACATGCTAACTTGAAGGACCAGATGATAGTTACTTACAACAGGTACTTCTGTAATTCAACTTAAATAAATGAGTTCAGTTTAATATTACATATTTCTCTCAAACCCATAAGGTCAGAGTGTAGACTGGTCATATTGGGTAAGTTACAATTAGAAGTAAAACGGATGGGAGTAATAGCATTAATGGAATCAAAAAGTACCATCAGTCAAGGGTTCAGGCTTGGAAATGAATTGAAAGGGGAATCTCAGATCAAGTGGTTAAAACTCAATGTCCAACGAGAAAATGGGCTGTCACACTCTTCAGACTCCTCTTAGCTTCTCCAGGCACAATGTTTTCCCATTCACTACATCAAATTGCAAAATATTTTTTAAGTGAAATCTGGCTTGTGGCTGAACAAGAAAATTACAGTTGGGTTGTAATTGGGTTGTTCTCAGCCTAAAGGGTTAAATCCTCAGTGTATCTTTTGATTTTTTCAGTGATAGAAAGCTACTGAGGCTGTGAAAACCTTTGCGGAAATGAAATGCATAGAAACTCTTTCTGTGACCCTGAGCAATCCTGACAACACATGATGCACGTTTGAGAAAGGGACTTCCTGATGAATGTGAGAAGAAAGCTTTAGAAACAAAGTTAAATGAAGATGGGAGTAGCATTGCTCACAGAAGGAAGATCAAACACTCCATAGAAAATACACTTTATGGTGCAATTGCCCTCTGGGAGTCACAGGATTATGAAAGTCTAACTTAATTATGGGAGAAAATAGGTCACATTTAATAACGGCATGTGTGACACATCATTTTGAGCTATATAACTGAAGAGGGAAGAAAAGTAATCAAATACAAGAAAGGCACACAGAATGCATGAATGTCTTCAAGTTCATCTAATTCAGGTGTTTTTATTTTGCATGTATGAAAAATTCACCATTCTTCTAATTTAACTTTTTAAAAGCAGTATACATGAAAAGGAAATTTTAGGTGCAAAAAGAAACAAAATGGCCTTACCAATTTTTTTAAACCAAATTAAAAGGTAATAAATATTCTCCCCATAAAAATATGCCATGCATATTTCTTTTTTTCTTTCTCTCATGTCATCAAATGACAGATAATCAGGTATTGTGAACCCTGCACAGAATCTTCTCCTATCCAGGGCTCTTTGTCCCTATGGGGTCGAGCTAATTACAGGTACATTTCCTTTGCAAGGCAGTCACACTCTGTACTGTTGAAGGCACAATTAATAATTGAACAAAGCTAGTTCCCATCCCCCCCCTCACATGGCCACGGGTTGCAGGCAGCTTTGCTGTCACACAGGGAGCAGAGTCTCTTCTTTGGGTCTTTTCTATATACCTTGTTTGTAATCTCCCAGAAAGACTTCACACTATAGGCTGAAAAGAATCACCTACTGTTTCCATATTTTGAAAGAAATTTTTAAAAATCCCGTGAAAACAAAAATCATAGTGTCCTTCATAAAATAGCCAAGTAAGCTCTCTCTCCTATCACCAGGAAATCAATTATGATCTGTTGGTTATTTAGGTCAGATGTGAAAGGATGAAAGAGGAGGCTGGGGAATGTAGGGGAGAATAGTAGTCTGCTCTCAAGTCTGCAAATGCAACAGAATGGTAGTTTTGCATGTGCCAGAGTATAATCTGACCCACAAAGTGGGCCTAGATAGAAGACTCTGTAAGAGTAAGGTGGTTTCCTTTGAGATCTCTGAAGGAGCTAGATGGAGGATACCCCAAAGCCCTGCCCTGCACCGTGGATGAGTGCAGCAAATCCTTGTCCTATGTTCCAAGCCATGGCCTTGAGTAGGAGTCTATCAACTTTACTATAAAGGGCCAAAGAGATAATATTTTACATTTTGTGGACCAAGTGATCCTTGTTGGAATTATTCAGTGTTGCCATTTTAGAACAAAAGCAACCATAGAGAATTTGTAAATGAATGAGCATGGCTGGGTTTCAATAAAACTTTGTGTAAGTACACTGAAACTTGATTTATATATATATATTTTTGTATGCAAAATAAATAAAACTATTTTGATTTTTTCCCATTTAACAACAACAAAAAAACTATTCTTAGCTTGCAGGCAGTAGATAAATGGAGCAGACTAAATTTGATACCCAGGCTGTGGTTTGCTGACCTCTGTTGTTGACTATTGAGAATCCCTGTGAATGTATCTATTATTTTGGTTGATATTCAAGTCTCCTCAGTCCTCTTAGTTTATGTAAATACAGCCTTTATTCTGGAAGGCATAGCTTATTCTTTGGTCTTTTGTTGACTTGAAACATCATAGAAAACCAGGTTATTAAGGGTTCAAATCACATGTTGATTATCATGGGAAAGTTTATGAGAGTTAGTTATGACTACCTGAACTCCTAGACAAGCTGGAAAAGACTCTGAAACTCTGGTTCTATATCAGAAGTTTTATAAACTCAAGGGATAAAAAGGAATCTATCTTTAGGTTTAGCTCAGCCATAGCACATTTTTCCCAAAAAGCCTATTTGCTGGTCAGTATTGCACCAAAAGAAATAGTGTCTTTCTGTTAGTGTAGTTCATTATTTGATTATTACTTGAATAGAATCTTTCCTCTTTTCTAACTCCCATTTCCCTTTTTTATCCATCCCTACCTTTTTCCACAAAAGATTGAGATTATAAATAATACCTTTACATAGACATTTACATTAATTAGAAAAGGTGAGACTAAATAAAAATAATGCTGAGAAAACAAGATGATAGCAGAAGTGTGGTCTGAAATGAAATTGATACCATAAACTTCTATATAGCTTGTTTATAATCAATTTTAATGTGTAATTTACGCATAAGAATGTATATATTTTTACACATGGTCATAAATTTGGCTCTAAGTTTGCTAATACAGATATTGATCGACTTATGACCTATGCAACTTACGACCATTCGACTTTATGACCACAATAGCTAGCCACAACTGCTCCGCGTCTGGCAGCGCAAACGTTGCCCAGCTGGGCATACGACAGTGCGGACCAGCTTCTGGCAGCACTACCATTTCAACTGTACATATAGCCTACCCAACTTACGACCAAATCGTGTTACAACTGGTCTGTCGGAACCAATCGTGGTAGTACATCGAGCACTAGCTGTAGTCAAAGAATAAAGGACATGCAGTCACTTAGGAAAATGTACTAGGTCCTTTCTTAAAAAAGAAACAATTGCTTAGGAAAAAAGAATGTAGAGATACTGAAAAAACAAATTTCTTCAAAGGGTCTTTTCAAAGGAAAACTATGTGAAACAATTAACAATCTCTCAATAATAACATTACAGTAAACACAATGATTTTAGGTGTCTTTTATAACATCCTTAAATATGAGTCAATAACTTCTATACCAAATTGCTATTCGGTAAAAGCAATGCTTCTTGGGACAGGGGTAGGTGGCATGGGATTGGAGCCAACACAGTGCCGTCCAAGTAGAATGTGCTCTGAAGGTTTAATTCATTCCACTAAAAAGATATAATATCTGCATGTTCGTACTTTAGACAATCTTTATATATTTTTTTTCCAAATGAGGTCTAAAATAAGTAGGTAACTCAATGAGTTTGAGATTCCTCTCCCAAATAAGTGTCTCATGTATATATATACGTATTATCAATAAATAAGTTTCAGGTGTTCATAAGAATGGGTTTTCAGTGACAATTCCTCAAGAAAATAGAGGCCTCTAATAAGAATGCCTGCCTAAATATAAAACCATTCTATTGGTTGGTCCAAATTTTACTTGAGAAATTCATTTGGGTTCTAACATCAAACAGAGGACTTGTCTTTTCACACCATAAAACACAGATTTTTTTAAAGACATTATAACCAAACATTATGCTGGCCTTTTAGAAATGTCGCAGTTTAGCTCCTGTTGTACACCCAGCTTTGAATAATATTTTTATAGTGTTCACTGTAAAATGAATATGTTGTAACACATCTCTAGTTAAGAAAATATTAGGTGACTATAAGATATAAATTAGTTAACTTTGTGGGTTACCTACAAAATCAATTATATCTTATAACAACAATTGACCTATTGCCTATCTTTCTGGAAGATTTAAATAGTAGGCTACATTCTATAAAGACTGTGTTATTTGAAAAGACATGGTTTTGCGTACAAGAATATGTAATTGGTAGAGTAGAGGAGTATGTATGCAGCTAATCTGAAATAATGTGCTCAAATATTTCAATAAAGTTCAAAAAGCAGGAGGCCTTGGAACCTTTTTATGGCAATGGTGGTAAGAAGGGGGAAGAAAGGATGTGGAAGACATTCCTGGGAAATGAGTTTCTGATTTTGACTGAATTAGTATCAATAGCTGGGACTCAAAATGAGTTCATGAAGCTTACTGCATGTCTGATGCCCATCACAGAACCAGGTGCCAAGGACAGGACAATAAAGGTCAGAAACAATTCTGTATTTTCCCGATAGATTTCTTCACAAGGTGCTACAAGTTAGAAAACTGTAGTTAAAAGTAAAGCAAAGCAAACAGGCAAACAACTATGTACATTAACTCAGACAAAATATTGCCCCAAGACATTCAATCACCAAATGGGCATGTATTTCACATATAATATCAAGCCATTGAATGCTTCTGTATTTGTTGAGTTGCCAGAGAGGGGGGCTGTTCTGTTGAAACTGAGATTTTACAGATAGATAGATCTATACACATATATATTCAGTACTATGATTGTAAACTTTATAGAGGTGAAGACATTAGCAAAGACCATGAGGACCCTAAATAAGACTTATGTTGCCATTCTCTTGGTGTGTTACTAATAAGATACATGCATGCTCTTCTGATACAACAGAATTCCAGGAGCATGACGATCTCTTAAACAGTGTGTGGCATATTGGAACCTGAAGCATTGCTTACCAGTTGGTGTGAGGTGTCTCCAGGTGATAACAGGTTCAGGACGACCATTGGCCATGCAGACCAGGGTCACGTTGCTGCCCTCATTCACAGTGACATCCGAGGAGATGTTGGAGATCTTTGGTGGGACTGTGAAAACAAAGGGAAATGCAATATATAACCCTGTCAGTAAGATTAGGCTTGTAGCCATATAACTGGAAGTGCAAATTCAAGGTTTTATAACTTACTTTGAATTTTTATGTTAAGTAGGGTGTTTTTAAGACTCATGCTTGTCATCTGGTTACCAAATCTATAAATTGTCCTAAAGCACTCCCATAAGGTAAGAACACCCTTCACAATGGCCAACTGAGTGCTGTAGGAAAGAGAGTAGTATGATGAAAAAAATCTTAGCTTTTAAAAATGTTAGAATGGACCTTATTTAGATATTATAGAGCATGCACATTTATGTGAATTAATAATACATCATTTCTTATTGTTACTTATTTTCTTATGTATATATAAATAAATATAATCCAGTCCCTTCTCCAAATACCAGCAAAACAATGTGATTTACCATAAGATAACATTACTGTGTTTTTAAGATGTGGTAATACCTGGTTACTTATAATCTAGCCACATAAGGAACATGGGTTAGTCACCACAATAGTAAGCATCTAAATATCATCTCTGTATATAACAGGCTACATGAAGTATCTTAGAACTTAAAAAGTGAATTAATAAGGCCTGTGTCACAGACAGGTAGGCATTAAAAAATACTTCTAATACTTCTGACGCCACTACTATTAACAATGCAATTAATAGCTAACTTTAAACATTTATTATGCATAAAGCCCTACATAGAGTATTTAACAAATATTACTTCAATAACTTATTATAATAAATGATATCCTATGAAGATTTTATTTATGGTTGGGAAACTGAGGCACAGAGGGGGCTAGGTGAGGGGCAGAAAATGAGTTTGAATCCCAGCCAATTCCAGGCTTTTGCTCATAAGCACCACTTGAATGAAACTTCATCTTCACAGCCCAGGCTACCAGATGGCTGAAAACAACAGAAATTAGTTTTTGGTGATGTGAGAAATGGGTCCCCAAGGGCAAGCTGTACTGCTGTCTGACTTCCTTCATAGTGTTCAGGGTGGCAACATTAGATCACACATTGGTAGGCTTAAGTGGGAAGTGAATTACTCACAAATTTCATCACAGAGGTTATGTACTGATTACAAATAACAGGGTTTATAGTTTGACTGTGATTTTCTTCTTTTTTACTCACTTGTTTAGGCTGTCCCTGAGAAAGTATGTGTCTGGGGGAAGGAGGAGGACAAAAGAGCATGAAGGAGTTCAATAACGAATTTTATTTTTTCTCATTCTTAGTGTCCATTAGGGACTTTGTGTGGTGACAAATAAAACAGGAACATTTTCTGCTTGCAGAAGCAAGCACCTGATAGCCAAATGACCGCTGCAAATCCTCATTAGGAGACACTGATGGTATCTGGGCAACTGACTGGTTCAGAGTGTCCCAAGGAGGAAGCAGGATGAGGGCTCTCTGGATCTCAGCATTCTACACTCATAGGGCCTCTGGGTAGGGAACCGGTCATTACAAGTCAAACCCAATGGCAGCAGACTGTAGTTGATTCCAAATATTTAGCAATCTCTATTTACAGAGTTCCTAATCCTCCTTTTATCTATTGGGGTTAAGGGTCATTTTCTCATATTCACACACTGTCTCGCAATATGTTCTCACAGACTTTTGTAATGAAAGCCTGAAAGAACATATACATTTTATAGAGAAGAATATCAGGCACGGAGAAAAATAATGGCTTGTCAAGGATGAGCCCACCAAGAGCTATGGCTGGACTTAGAATTCAGAACTCCTGAATGTTCAATTGTTTCACTGTTTCATATTCACAGTTTCTAATTCCCAGCTGAGTAGGCTAGTGCTCTGAACATCTTCAAAACAACTGCAATGAACAATGAATCAGTGATAGTTTCAGAACAAAATTTGGACATACTATGTGCCATACTCAACAATCTAAAACCTATCATAGAGAGTGATACAGTAATTCTAAGAGCCCGCATTACTAAAGTTGTAGTTATATCTGAATTGTAACACAGGACACAGTGTAAGGTGAAGAAATATAGATATGTTCTGATAAAAAATATAAAGGCCTCTATATCCCTAATATAAAACCAGTTAAATTTATAAAAACAGAAAACAATTAATTAAAAAAAATCCCAATGAATTACTACCTGTGGTACAATTGACTCACAATTTCTCTTTAAAAAAAAATAAAAGGACATATAGCAAAGACTGTATTTACATTTCACACCAGCTAAGCCATTTGTTCAACTTCACGTAGACAGGTACTGATAAAGTTGGGAATAAAATCTAGAATACTTCAGGGTTATGTTCTGGTCACCAAACCACACTGCATCTCCAAATGAAGAACAATCTGTTCAATTACTGAGTCTCAGAGACTGGAGATACAGAAAGTGTTTGTGCTGAATAGTTAGGAATGTAACCACGCTGTATCATTGTATCCCACATGCCTCTGGATCACTTTCAATAGGTCTCACTCCATCATTTGTTTTCTTACTTTATTTTGTGCTAGCTTCTTCCCATAAGCATTTAAATATGATGCAGTCTTTTTTGCTTTTTTTTTTTTTTTTTTTTTTGACAGAGTTTTGCTCTACAGCCCACGCTGGAGTTCAGTGGCATGATCTCAGCTCTCTGCACCCTCCACCTCTTGGGTCCTGGTTCAAGCAATTCTCCTGCCTCAGCCTCCTGAGTAGCTGGGATTACAGGCGTGCGCCACCACGCCCAGATACTTTTTGTATTTTTAGTAGAGATGGGGTTTCACAATGTCAGCCAGGCTGGTCTTGAACTCCTGACCTCATGATCCACCCAACTTGGCCCCCCAAAGTGCTGGGATTACAGGCCTGAGCTACTGCGCCTGGCCTCTGTTTTGCTTTCAAAAGAAATTCCTCCCTAAACTCCACATCGCTCTTTTATTAACTTTGTTTTCTTTTTTTCCGTGACATAGCTTTCAGGAGATCTTGAGAACATGTGTCCCTTTTTTATTTTTGTCCCATCTTATTAACTTTCAATCCCTTTTTCTAAATCTCTTGAGGGAATTGTTCTACACCATATCGTCATCTCCCAACCACACCTCAACCTTCAGTGTAATCTGGATTCTCTCCTTAAGCTCAAATGAAATTTACTCTCAGGAAGCTCACCAATTATCGTACTGCTTTTAGGTCTATAGGCAATTTTTGTTATCTTGTTTTTCTCTGAAGTATTTGGTTCTGTTGATGCTCCTTCCACTCATTATATTTTATTTCCCTTGGTTTCTAGGACACCAAACTTAACTGCTTTTCCTCTTATCCTTCTAGTCAGCCTTCTCAGGTTAACTCTTCAGCTTATCTTGTCCTTTCTTTTATCTGAATTTAAGAGTTTGATCATTTACCTCTTTCTTCATCTCAATCTATACATTCATTGAAGGATCTTGTCTACTTTCTAGCTTCTGAAGCTACAGGAATCACCATCTGCAGCCCAGATTTTTTAATGACTGTTACACCTACATTTCTAATGGACTGTTCCGATCTCTGTTGTCTGCCTCACAGATACCCAAGATTCAACATAATCAGGACTAAAGTCATCATCTTCATTCCCACAAAACACTTATGTTTTATTATCTTAGTTAACAGTGTCATCAGGCAAAGTTGTCCAAGCAAAAAAAGTGAAGCATGTCCCTTGACCACTCTCTCTTCTTCACTGCACTTGTATAAAATGGATCCTCAGGTTCTGTGGTTTATGTCATATATGTGACATAAAAATGTGGCAGAAACCACAGAACTTGATCAATTTTATATGAGTGTAGTGCATAAATATATATATATACATATATATCTATGTCTCAGATTAGTTCTTTACTCACAGTCCCTACTCCCACTAACCTTGTTTCAGACATCAACATTTCTTTCTGCGAGGGGCTAAATGACTGAAATGAGAAGACATTAAAAATGGCTTCTTTGTCTCTAGCCTTCCTCTCTTCATGCTCACTGCCATACATTCACCGCACTATAATCAGATAATTTATTCCTAAATTGCAAATGTGAAAATAATTCTTGATTAATCTCATTGCCCTCAAGATAAAATCCAAACTTTTAAATATGGTTTAACAGGTCATTTGTGATTGGCCCCACTTATCTCTCCAGCCTCATTTCCTACTCTATTTGCATTGCATCATCTCGTGGAATCAGGCAAATTTTGGCTTCTGGAATGTGCTCTCTTCATGCTCTGGCATTTGACATTATATTTCTTCCTACATGAAGTATTCTTCTTTCAATTCTTCATGAGATTACCCTCTTTCCCCCTTCAAATTTCAGCTTGTCACCTTGTTTCCTTACTTGCTTGTGAGAGCCTTTCCTGTCATCCCCCACCCTGCCTCCCGCTCTGCTCCTGGATCTACACTTGGTGAAGCAGGCTGTGTTCTCACCTCATGTCCCGCTCCTGAGGCCATATTGGGTGAAATGCCCTGTGTCTCACCTTCACAGCACTGAATCATAACAGCTGAGTTACTTACCTGTGCTATTCACTAAACTGTCAGAGACACACAGCAGGGCCTTGGTTTTCCAAACCACTGAATCTTACAGGGCATGGTGCTTAGAACACAGTAGGTGCTCCAAAAGTGCTTGAAAACATTTACTTAGTTTTTCTCAACTGTTTACTTCACTCAAGGAAGGTATCATATAGACTTTGTATCAGAAAGGAATAAGTTTTTATTTTGAACCAGTAAAATAGAGCTCTTATCAATATTTATTAGTGATTCCTTTAGTCATTTCACTATCAACTTATTTGACTCTTAATAAAAAGCATTAACCATGAGGCAGAGAAATGTCTGTATATTTCAGGAAGACAGGAAGCAAAAAGAACCTGGTGTCTAACTTCCTCAAGTACAGGCTTTCTGAGTTTTAACGTCTTTGTTTCTTTTTCTATAAGGAGGGAGAGAGCGTTAGATAGATACAGATATATCATTTTTAGTGTAATAGCTTACTACTATTTTCCTAGTTTCCCGTAGCCCTTCGTAGAATTAAGTTTAGATGATAATTACTGATAACATCAGGTGGCAA